GCGAGTCCCGTGGCAATGCCACCCACCTCTCCCACCCCGGCTGGGGGACAGCACCCACCATGGGGAGCTGCGAGGTGCTGGGGAGGGGACACATCCCACCCCCAAGCTGAGCGAGCCACTGGGATTCCCACCCCTCACACGATGCCGTGAGGTCCTGCCTCTGACAGACCCTGCCCTGCTTCCCCCCCGCGAGCCGGCGGAAGCGGCAGAGCCCCCCCTCCTTGCAGGGTTTGTGCCAAGTCAGCTGGCTGGCGGCCAGCGCAGGAAGGACAGGCTGGGGCTGCAGTGCGGGCTGCGCAAAGGGGCTATTTTTAGCCACCTCGGTTTTTAGCCATCCCAGTTGGGTGGTGCCGAGGCCCCGCAGTGGGGAGGGAAGGCCGAAAGCAGGCAGCACCTCAAGCCAGGGGATGTACCCACAGTGAGATGCCTGTCAGAGCCCAGAGACAGGCCTTGCTGCAGCCCCCACAGGTCCCCCCATAGCCGCCCTCTGCCCAAACAGGGCACACACATGCTTTTCCTTCAGTTCAGTGTTTAATCCCTTTGGCTACAAAATCCAAAACCTCAGAAAAGCAAATGAAATGGTGGGGTGGGGATGCTGCTCCTCCCCATCAGGAGGCCCACAGGCATGCCAGAGCGATGCCCGGGTGGTGCTCAGCGATGGCTGAAGAAGCCCTGAGGGTAGTTGAACTTGAAGGGCTTCAGGCGCATGGGCCCCCTGGAAGAGAAGAGGGAGAGGCTGACCCATGGCACCCTGGGAGAGGGGCTGGTTCCCACAGGGGTGGCTTCCAGATCGGCACCAGGTCAGGCACAGACGTATTCTGGGGGACAGCAGTGCCACCCCATCAGCGCACTCGCCCCCCACATCCCTCCTTGCTGCCCTGGGGTGCCGGGCTCTCACCTGACCAGGCGCAGACACATCTTCTCCTGGGGAAACTCCTTGGGTCCCTCCACGCTGGGGTCGTGGGGCTCCGTCTCCAGGTAGACGTCCAGCACCATGCACAGGCGCTGCAGCTGGTTGGTGAGGAGCTGGTAGCCCGGTTTGAGCCCCCACAGCTCCTTGTAGTTCACGTTGACCTCGCTCTCCATGGCCTGGCAGAGGGTACGGTGCAGGCTGAGGCCTCCGCGCTGCCTGCCCAGGACCCACAGCCTGGCCACCAGCTCAGCCCGACGGCTCGCTTAGGATGGACACAGGACCGCTGGGAACACTCCCTAAAAAGCCAGAGGTTCTCCAGCCTCCTCTCCCGCCACCCTGGGTTACCCGAATGTTGTCGTCGTTGCTGCTGGTTCGCTCCCCTTTCCAGTTCAGGCACAGGCTGAAGACGGGCGGCAGCGTGGAGTAACCGGGGTTCAGGACCACGGCTGCCTGGAGCTTGGCTAAGCAGGGCAGGGGAGAAACATCACCTACAGCCCCAGCTGGAGGGGTTTCCCATCCAGACCTCCAGAAGCTGCTCTGGGGGCATCCCACGTGGAAATTAGAAACTGCCAGGGAAAGGCAACGTGCCTACCTGTTCCCCTTTCTACCAGGGCCATGTAGTAGAGGTGAGTGTCTTCAGCCAAGCCGGCCTCTATGACATCCTTGGTGTAGGGCAGGTCCTGTGGGGAGAAGCAAGAATGAGCAGCCTCCGGTGCCAGGCGGGAGCTGGAAGGGATACGGCCTCGCGCTCGGCACCTACAGCGTAATCTTCGTAGGGAATGGCAGTCCACTTCACCAGGCGCGAGACGATCTTGGTAGGGAAGAGATGCTGGCACTCGCTGGAGACCGGCACAACGCCATGCTCTGAAACCAGGGACAAGGCCCACCTGAGCAGGGAAGGGCTGGGGACAGGGCGCTGGCACTGCCTGCAGGTGGATCTCCATGCTCCGAAACCGGGACTTTGGGGATATCGTTATCCTTCTGACACCTTCATCAGGTTCCCAGAGCGGAGCAGTGGAGGCCTTGGCTGAGATCCCACGGGAGCTTGCAGCCTTGGCAGCGTGTGCCTGGCCGGACAGGTGCACGACACCCATGGTTCACCTCCCCCCACAGCCTAAATCGCTTCCCAGCGCAGGGGTGGCTAGTCCCAAATGGGTACTGGGCACCAGAGAGGGCACAGGCTTCCTCTCCCACCCAAAAGAGGGCAGCCCTCACAGCCCTGCTACAACAGAGGACAGAGGGAACAACTGGGAACGCCAAGGGTGGCACTGCCCTGCCACATCCCCAGGCAGGGCATGGGGAGCCAGGCACTCACCGAGCGACGCAAACTGCTTGTGCAGAGCCAGGCGGGACTGCAGCCTCGTCCGCAGCAGCTTCACTGTCAGCTCCATGTGGCGGGCGCTCAGCGAGTTGTCCGCAGTGACCATGTGCTGTGGGCAGGAGGGGCCATCACCGTCACACCCGGCTGTGGGCCCCCACGGGCCAGCAGCCATCCCCCCAGCCACGTGGACAGGCACCCACTCGAGTCACAGCTCAGTAACAGGGCTCAGACCATCACGTGTGGGAGATAAAACACGTTGGCGTGGCCCCACTGCACAGGCTGATTCCGACTGAGCCTGTCCCAGCCGAGGGTGCACCGTGGTTTGGGGGCGGCTGGTGCCAGCAGGAGCTCTGGGAGGACACGACAGCACAGTCCCCAAAGCCTCCCCAACCTCAGCTCAACCTTCTGCCGGAGAAGGGAAGGAGCATGACTTGCCTGAGGCTGATCCTTGGGGAAATGCAAGCCGCCCAGCTTCTGCACCCACACGTAGGGGTGCCCCAGCTCTGTCACGTAGTCGCTCAAGGTCAGGATGCTGTGGGGACAACGAGGGAAGGGTGATGTCACCCCAGAGCATTCCCCCCGACCCTGTCCCCCACGAGAGCCGGCTTCCCGGCCACCAAGCCCTCCACAAGAAGCTGGGGAGGGACGTGCCCCGCTGGGAGCAGGGCACTCACCCCAACCGCCTGGGTGAAGCCGCCCCAGCTCTGCCCCACTCACCCCACTTTATCGAACTGGAACTGGTTGGCCGGGTTGGGTGTTTTCCTCCCATGGTCTCCGGGATAGAGGCAGTTGAGGAGGGAGTCTGGGGAGAGCAGGTCACTGTAGGGAGGAGGGAGGAGATCAGTTAGCAGCAGCCTGGGCTCCGAGTCTCTCTGGGGTGGCCACTAACAGGCTCCGAGCCCAGAGAAAGAGATTACAAGCTCCATGAGTTGGGTTGCAAGACCAGAATGGCTTCCCCTAATTCCACTCCAAAAACCCTGTCTCCTCCCTGGCTGTGAAGGTAGAAATCACACGGCACCAGCTCCCTGCTTTCCCAGGAAGCTGTTTGCTCTGGTGCGTTAACAAACCTGGAGAAAACATGGCCCAGAGGCAGGGCATGCCCTGATGGCTGTCTGCCACCCAACAAGCTTAAGCAAAGGAACTGTGCTTGATGAAGTAAGATTCTTCATGTCACTGTATTCCTAAGCCTGACCAAGCATATAGGCCTGTAGGATTTGGGGTTTGGCTCCAGCCACAGCCTCACTGGTTTGGGGTAACGCAGCCCAGGGCAGCTCAAGGGAGGGAGCACCCTGCAGAGGAACCCTGCGGAGAAACTCCAGCTGCTGTCACGGAGGGCTTTGGGTACCTCCAGGGAAAAAGAGAATCCCAAGAGGCCTCACATGGGACAGGCTCAGAGGCAGGATTTGCTTCCAGGTAAGTCCAAACCAGCCTCTCCCACCTCCCTCTTCCTCAGGCACCTCCTCCTGGCCTGGGGAGAGGAATCAGAGAGCCAGCAGCCGATTGGAGCTTCCCGGACAGGCTCCCACAGCTGCCATTTCAGCTATTCCTCACACAAACACAGCTCCCAGCGGTCCCTGGGGAGCCCAGGGAGAGGCAACCACATCTCCAGCACTGGAGACAAGGTGACCTGCAGAACAGGCAGGCGAAGGGAGCTGCCAGGCACCGGCTGCAGCGGGGAGGAAAGCGGTTTGGCTGCAGGACGGTGGCTGAAGGCGACAAGCAGGAGAGGCTCTCCTCCAGCTCCGGACAGGTCTGGCACCACTCCCCTAACAGGCTCCCAACCTCCCTGCCCATGGCTTGTGGTGACAGAGGGAGGAGGATGCCTGGGCTGGCAGGGTTCCTGACAAGGCCCCAGAGCTAGGGGGAAGGATACTGCAGGGCAGAGGATGCACAAGGTGAAAGCTCTCCATGGATACGGAGCTGTGCTCTTTGGTGACTCCTTTGCCCATCAAAGGACAAGCCAAGACAGCAGTTTGAAATGGCAGCTCTGCAAAAAGGCCCTCAAGGTGCCCCAGGAAAGACGAGGTGAGGGACTGAGGTTAAAACCTCGCCCACTGGGAGCAGGCAGCTGGGCATGGAGTGTCCCTGGCACGCTGGGCACGGCTCAGCAGAGGGACACTGCCACCCTTGCTACTCCATCGCTCTACCAACGGGTCCCTGCAAACAAAGCATGGCAGGAGAGCAGGACAGGGCATTCGTGGCAAGTGGAGGAACCGTTGCCAGGCTCAGTGGCCCCAAGGGCTCTCCCTACCCGGCACTGATGGCAGTTGTCATCTCAACGGCAGTGGTCACCTTGGCTTTCACCGTCATGACATTGAGATTCATCAGGTAGTAGAAGGTCAGGTGAAGCACGTTCTCATCTGTGCCAACAGAGAAGAGGCAACATTGCTGTCAGCTCTAGCTCAGAGCACTCTGCAGGGTGGATATACATGTCCCCCAGCTAGGACAACAGCAATCGGGCAGAGAGGCAACGTGGGGAGAAGCTGTAACTCCGAATGTCGTCCCATCAGCATCTGCCAGGCTGCATCTGTCATGCTCAAGATGCCGCTGCATAAGAGAAAAGCTCCCAGCTTGAGGGAGGAAGCTTCAGAGCAAGGTCACCCCACCCGTGAGGGCAGGAAGAGAACGGGGAGACTGAGCTGATAAACCACTCTGTCCAGTCTCCCTGGGAAAGCCACACTCGTCCCTGCTGGGGCGGCTGGGCAGGAAAGCCTCTCCACAACCCTGAGCTCTCCCCAAGGATGCCAAGCTGCTTCCGGTCACGCACCCTCGTGTGCCCTCTGCCAAAGGCCACCAGCACCCGCCTACCTTTGCACTTCAGGTCGACGGTGACGGACAAGGGGTGTCGCTTGAGCATCTCCTTGCGCTTATCATCCAGCTGCACGCCCAGGGTGGGCCTGCGCCGCTTCTGGGGAGGGCAAAGAGCTGTCAGACCCTTCTCCTCCCGCTTCTCAGCAACCCACGGCCCCCACCCTTCTCTCCCACTGCTGCCTCCTCCTAGTCTAGTTCCCCAGTCCCACAGCAGCCCTGGGGAGGGAGGGGAAAACCCTGCCCAGAAAGCAGCTCGGGGGTTCAAGTTGTTCCTTCAGCTCCCAGGAGCACCCCAGCCCTGTGAGACTGGGCCCAAGGACCAGCTGGCCCCAAAAGCTTCCCCCAGTGAGGGGCAGAAGCTGGGGTCCTTCCTTTGACCTTTCCCCACAGCAACAGCCTGGCACAGACTCTGTGGGCTTCCACGCTGGGGGCAGCCAGAGCCTACGGCCTCTCCCCAGCATCCAGAAGGTACAACCTGTAGGACTGATGGAGCTCTGAACAACCCCCGATGCAGAGCTCAGCTCAAAGCTTCTGGCAGATGGCAGGGGGTGGACATGCACCCCCTCCCTGCCGAACGCCGGCCTCCAGCCAGCTTCCCTGGCCGAGGCTATTTATGCAAAGTGGAACAGCCCCAGTCGGAGAGCTCCGAGGTGGCTGCTGCTGCCAGTGGGATGTGAGCGTGGTGGGGCATGGGCAGATTTGTTCCCTGGCTCTTCTTTCGGGACAGAAACTGCAAAGGGCACTTCTCCCAAGGAACTGCTGGATTTAACATCAGTGCAATTCCACACCCACAGCATGCAGGGCCCAGTTCCCAGTGCCACAGGCACCTCCCAGTTAGCCGGCACAGATCTCTTTGCCCACACGATACAGCTCTGGGAGAGGACCCAGAAGGGGATAACACTATCCCTTACCGTGGTCTGCTCCTCCTCCGCGTCAGAATCACTCTCGTCATCTGTGCAAAGAGAGGGGGGTAAGCTGGCGCTCAGCCGTTTTCCCACAGCCCCAGGACTACCACCCTTCCTCCAAGACCACAGCGCTCCCAGACATCACCATCCCTACAAAAGCAGGGCCTGAGCAGTATGCAGGCACACAGGAACATGTACCAGGGGTCACTCCAACAGATGAGGGGATGTAGTCATCTCCCAGGAAGGAGCTTGGGACAGAGGGGATGAGCTGCTGGCAGTGCAGGTACTAGCCACCACGCCGTTTCAGCACCCACCCCCTCTGCCTGCAGAGAGCACCAGGCAGCCTGCCTGGGGTAACACCACCCAAACTCACCCTGCGAGTCCTCTGGTGGCTTGTACAAGGCTTTGGCTTCCTCTACGCTCCCTTCAATGGCCACAACAAGCTTCTTATCTGCACAGGAGACACAAAAGCTAAGCCACGAATGCCGCTTCTGTATGGGAAAGGCAGTTGGAAGTAGCCTGGCCCCTGGAAGCTCCTGCTTCACGGCTGAGCGAGGCAGAGAAAGCTCACATGAAAGCCTGTGGAAAGAGGCAGTGTCCAGAGGGTCACCGCAGGGATGGATCTCCTGGAAGGAGAGGGACTGGCCCTGGAAGTCACAAAGGCCAAATCTTCATCGAGAGCCAGAAGGGTTGGGGTGTGGCTGGCTCAAGCAGGGGGCACGGAGCTGTGTTGTCACGGTCGTGGGTGCCCATTAGCAGGGAGCTGGCATGGCCAAGTGTCATGGGGTGCTCCTTCCACGCTCCCTCCAAACTCTGCTGCCCACCTCCCTCCCAGAGCGTCAAGAGAGTGAGTGGGATTGCAGTTCTCACACTATGCTACAGCCCTCCTCCCTGCACAGGAGATGTGGGGAGCCCAGGGAGATCCTGAGCCCTGCTGGGAAATCCCTCCCAACCCAGGGAGGCTTCAGAAATCCCCTCAAAACGCAATGCTGCCCAAGGGGATGAGGCCTTTCAGGGGAGCTGCAGGGAAGGACCTCTGCGTGGGCAGCCACAGGTACCACCTGCTCTGGACCCGCCACCACAACACAGCACCCCATCCTCGGGGTGACAGCTCTGGGGGGGCCGTGTCAGCACTGAGCCAGCTTGCAGGCTGCAGGGACACCACTGCCGACCTTGAGAAGCCAGAGCAGAGGTGGGAAGCGAGCTCCCCAAGCAGTTCTTCCAACGGGGGAGCTGAGCAGACAAAGTTTCAAATGCTGCTGCCTCACTGTGCTGGCCCTGAGGCCGCCCCGCTGCTCTGAGCTCAGCAGAATCCGGCAGCAGAGCAGATGGGACGAGAAGGACCTCCCAGAGCGTCCCCAAAGCAGGGCTTTGGGTGAAATCTGGCCGTGGGGGGAGCGTGGTCCCCCAGCCGGTGACAGCCCCTCGGATACCGCTGAGGACTGGGTGCTCGCCACAGGCCTGGCCGTAGGCACTGGCTTGAACGAAGAGAACGTAGAGAGGTGGCGGGAGGTGGCGGGCCGTCTCGTACTGTTTGTGCGCCTGGTCGAAAGGCATGAAGAGATACTCCTGGACAGGCAGGGAGGCCTGGCAGAAGGAGAGAGAGAACCTCGGTCACTGGCAACAGAACAGCGTGCCCTCCTCACCCCCTCCTTCACCCCAAACTGGTAAGGGGGAGACTGGAAACCAGTGCAGCAGCCGCGGTGCACGGTTAAGCAGAACCCCCAGGGAAGGGCTGGCAGCTCTCCTTCACTGGAAAACTTTTGGATCTGAAAATAACCCAGTTCCTTCTCCTGTTCTTTCCTCCCAAGGCAATCACAAGGGACTGGAACTGCGTATCGCTCTCCAGGGAAAGGCCCGTTTAACGACTCCTCCATCTGCAGTTCTGCAGGAATTGCTGCATAAACAAGGAGACTTCACACGAGGCAGACCTCCCCCTTGTCCACCCCAACTGCGAGTGAAGCGTCCCCAAAGCAGGATCAGGCCAGGCGTTGCCCCTCTCCGATGCAGCCCTCGGGGCGTGATCTCAGCTCGGCTCTTCCCATCATGCAGAGCTCACGTACCTGCATGATGCTGTTGAGTCGAGGCTGGAGGCTGCTCAGATACTCCTTCTTCACCTCGATCTCCTTCAGGATCTTCTCCTTGCTGGTCAGGCACTCCTTGTACTTCTCTGCCAGCCTAGGGGTGGGAATCTGGTTACCACCACACAGCACAGCATGCTGTGTGTGCCTGTGAGCCTGCCAGGGCCCGCCCGGGTCACAGGCCCCAGCTCTCCTGACCGGACAGATGTCACTGCAGGAACCAGGAGAGCTCAGGCATGGCAACAAAGAGCCGACGGCGAGTGAAGTAACCCACTAGAGCTGGAAAAGGAACAGGGAGAGAAAGCAGAGGCTCAGCCTTGTGCTGTACTGTGAGACGGGACAGCAACCGGATTGTCCCTCAGCAGATCTGCTCCCACGCCAGCCTCTGCTGGCAGCAGCCACATTCAGGGAGTCCTGCCGGCCCACCCAAGCCCTGACGAGGCTTTTCCTCTTCCCATCACCAGAGTCGCTTCACATCACAACAACTCCTTCGTTAACCTCATGAGAGTCGAGGTTTGACACACGAGCAAGCGCTCCCGTGAACTGAGTAGAGAGCCCAGGAAAATGCAAGTTCATCAGGCCCCTCCAAGCACTGGATACACTTGTGTTTAGGGAGAACATGTTAAATTTCCTTATTGCTGTTGGTGGCAATCCTCCTGCCCAGCAGGAACAGGGAAAGCTGGGCGGGGAGGTGTGCTGCCCAGCACAAGCCACATGTCGGGGGAGCTCATGCGCTCCCTTTTTGGGACCCTGCTCCTCACTAGAAGAGAGCACCCACAGGGCAAAGGAATCCCCTAACACTGCAGGACCAAAATGCTTCCGTTTCTAAGCAAAACTGTATTTGCATTGGGTCAACACCTCCCAAAACGCAGTTTTGAAGTCCAGCTTCAAGACTGAGCTCCCTCAGCTAGTGAGAGCAGCAGCGATCCCCGTAACGCCAGTCAAGCATTCCAGAATGGAGTCAAGACAAATCCAGTACTCCGCAACTCTTACAGATGGATACGAGCAACCCCACTAGCACCAGAAAGTGTCCAAAGTGATACAGCATCTGCCCGAGGCAGCTGAAGAGGCTCTTTCCCACCACAACAGCACTGGGAGGCAGTGGTTCTCCAGATACCACGGGGTGAGGACTGGGAACTGCAAGGCATCTCAGCAATTCACTGTGCAACTGTGGGACAGGCTCAGTTCGGCTCCCCTTTGCCCTACACGCAGTTCGCAGCGAGCAATCACCTTTTAAAGAGATCCCTCAAGAGATCTCCAGGTTGAAAGCTCCTCTGCTGCAGGCAGAGCCATCCAGAGCACCTCGCTGCAGCATGAACAGCTTCCACCAGGCAAAAAAAGCCGGGTTTGACGTGAACAGTCCGGGCGAGATGAAGCGTGAGGTGTTAGAGCCACACAGCACGCGTTAGAGCTGCTCGAGTGGCACCGGCAGGTTCTCACTGACCCTTGCAGAAGGCTGGTCTGGCTGAAAATCTGCTGCTTTTTATCAAGACACAGGAACACAGTGTCACGTTTGCTTTTCGTGTGGGGAAAGAGACAAACATAGAATCATAGAATCACAGACAAGAGACAAACATAGAATCACAGAATG